GTTGACCTTCAATATTGTGGTTCTCTCTGATATTTCTGAGACAGAAGCTTAATTTTCCTACCTGCCTATGTAGCTCATTGTAACTCAGGTGCATAGGCCAAGTAGGCTGGTTGGTTCAAGACCAACTTACCATCTATTCAACAAAAGTTGAACAGATATCTAGTGCATTGATAAAGTTGAAAGCAAAGAAAGAGAATTACATGACTGTTTACATTAAGGTGATGTTACACGAGATGATTTGCAACAACAATTTTCAGCACAACACAGCGCAATGCCGCGACAATGCTGGGATGCTACATTGCACTGAAAATCGTTGTTGCGAATCGGCCCGCTGTGTAAAATCACCTTTATGCATTCAATATTTAGGGTGCGACTATTGTAACCGGGTCCACCTAGACAAAGTTGACCAATCAGATTCACGAAAAAAACAATACATCCTAAAAAAGTTGGTTGTAGACCAATCAGCAGCTCATAAAAAAACAATAAGTTACTCGAAGCACAAAATTTTAATATGGATAGCAAACATTTTTCAAGAAAGCAATTTTTTTTTGCTATTTGAAACTTTACATATAACCCCCAGGGGACATGTGTTTGACACAAGCTGTTATTTTGCCATCTACCAGGAGTTTCTTCACTACCATTGCTTCACTTTGCAATAAATATGGGACCTCAAGTTAAAAATATGACTAATGTTTACATTTTTCACCTCTGTCAACACTCTAACAGACTTCTCAGCAAACATAGGCTTTCTTCAGTGGGTTTTTAAGGTCACATCTGTAGGTTGTAATTGGTTGATTTCAACCCGTGTTGTTGATTTTGTTCCGAGGCAAGGTTTTATCGAGAAGGTTGTCCAGCAGTCCCATGGACACCCATTTTTGGAAGAAATACAAGGAAAACTCACTTAATGTCCAGGTGGTCCCGGTTATAGTAATCACACTGTAACTTGTTCAGCAAAAATTGTTGAACAAATCTTTCGAATTGCTTTCACAGAATTAAACTTCCTAACATTTTCCCGGAAACTGTGGAGAGAATGTTAGGGAATTCAGCCTTTTCGCCCATAAGGTGTTTGCCTAGTAAACTGCACTTATCTCCGACAGCCTGGCTGTTAGGGTAAGTTGCAATGAGAAGTGTGACCATGAAACTGCAACATAAGGCAGACAAAAATAATGGTAAAAAATGACCAAAAGGTGGATTGAAACTATTATGACAGGAAAGAAGTAAATCGCAGATAGTTCGCGATATTAAATAAAACAAACCACACTTTGTTCAAATGTATACTGCAGATTCTAGTCTGGAAAGAACTTGACTATGGCAAAATGACAGAAGTAGAAAAACAGATGCTTGTCTCTGAAGTGAATCTCCTAAGAGAATTAAAGCATCCACACATTGTACGGTATTATGACAGAATTATTGACCGTTCAAATACAACCATTTACATTGTGATGGAGTTCTGTGAAGGAGGAGACCTTGGAGCATTAATTGCCAAACACAGGAAAGATAAGTAAGTCTCGAAGATATTAGCTATATAGACTTTAGTGATATTAGCCACTCTAAAATTCGAGTTAAAATAAAGGTTATGTATGTATGTAAGTCATGTGCAAATTATAAAAATTTGGGGGTTAATGCAGTGTTCCAGATAAGAGACAGGTCTCGGGTCAATGACCCGACAAAGAAGGCTTCCTGATCCGGCAGATGACATATATAAGTGTTAAGTTAAATGTAATGAAAAAAATTAGCACATGGTCTTGGTGACCTCTCAGATGGTCTACATGACTTCCCCCTTGAAAGAATTAACTGGAATGCTTTTAATAATGGTTATGATGAGATCATTTCTGGTAATCAATAATATCAGACACGAGGATCGAAGAATGTTTCATTTTGAATTGAAAATATAGTGGCTTTTGGGCATAAGTTTATCATATGGCAGTTAAGGTCACTCATAGTCAGTATGTGTCTCTCTTTCCCCTGACCCCCCCACGTCCAATTCTTGCCATTCAATGCTACTGAATATAAAAAAAGTTTCCTTATGTTGGAAGCTATGATCCTGGATTTTCAACCAGAAATCTTTATATTTGTTAGGAGATACATGGATGAGGAATTTATTCTCAAGATTATGCACCAGCTGGTTAGTGCACTTCAGGAATGTCACCGCAGAAAGGATGGTGCCCATGTTTTGCATCGGGATTTGAAGCCAGCTAATGTCTTCTTGGACAGCAGTGATAATGTAAAATTAGGAGATTTTGGATTAGCAAGAGTTCTTCAACATGACACCAGCTTTGCTAAAACATTTGTCGGGACTCCTTACTACATGTCACCAGTGAGTAATATACAGTTAAACCTCTCAGTAATGGGCACCCTGGGGGCAAAAGAAAGTTCCCGTTATGGGGAGGTGTCGAGGGGGAGGGGAATATGACATCTGTTTTTTTAGGGAGAGGGAGACTACAACAATAATATTATTTTGCCAAGCTCATGCTTAACAGTGTAGTCTACAATGGTGATCCAATCCTAAATGATGTACATGTATATAGATAAAATATGCAAGAAATGTTAAATAATGTTTTGAATCAAAATTATGTTAACAAGAGAGCAATGCTTGCAAAACATTCACTATAAGTCTTGTAGATACATTATATGGAACACAATCAAAATAATAAGCACCGGGGGTATAACATTTTGGATGCAGAAACATAATGTTCCAAAAACATACGTCGATTACTAGATCAGTTTATACCACATTCACGCTGCACATGTTTTATTTTCTTTTAAGTGAAATAAAGCTGTTGTCCAATCGTTGGCTATGAGAACCCATATTATTAAATCATTTTTTCAGTCTCTCAGCACTTATGTCATTATTCTCTGTACTAAAGAAATTTTGTTAGCAGTGAACAGAAATTACTTGCTACATTACCAAATTAAATAGGCAGGCACTTAATCCAGACCAAATTATTGACTTCTTTTCTTACAATGTCTCTGACATGTATTTTCAATTTGTTTGCAGGAACAAGTAAATAAGCAAAATTACAATGAAAAATCAGACATCTGGTCACTTGGATGCTTGGTTTATGAGCTTTGTTCATTGTCACCACCCTTCACGGCGCTAAATCAAAGGAGTCTTGAGGCCAAGATCAGAACTGGAAAATTTCGCCCAATCCCTGAGCGTTATTCACAGGATCTAAGTGATGTAGTGAACTCAATGCTTAAAGTAAATGTAAGAAGTATAAGGATAATAATGTCAGTGTTTGATGTCTTTCTCTTTCAAAAATTGTTTGATTTATATGATTATTTAGTATTATTGCTCTGTATGACCTTAAATTTTTCTGGCACACAGGAGGAACGCAGACCATCAATAGATAAACTTCTTGGTTGCTCGATTTTTCAGAGGTTTCAAAAAGATTCAGATACATCGTGAGTACCAAGTTTCCTTTGATTCGGTCAATTTACCGAGCATTTAACTTTTTCCATGCAACAAGAAGGGACTGCTATAAGCGATCTACAGTATGTGCAAGAGTGCGTTCAAGCAGAACCTGGCATTCCCTGTTGTCTTACTCCACCTTTGGGTGCCAAAGAAATCTCGTCAGTGTTTGCAAAAGGCATTATTAAACATTATTATATGGCTATAGTACACATGCTCTGATTGGCTGTTTTCTTGTAGTGACTTGGCATTATTTTGTTGTAATGACCTGGCATTACAAGCTTGGTGTCCAAGGCATATACAATCTCTGTTTAATGTTGATAGTGGACACCCTTATGAACATCCATGTTATGATCAATTGACAGCTGTCATAAAGGGTATCCACCGACCAATGTCACCTGAATGTGATGGTGGGCTCAATATTGTACACCTCATTGAGGTGATGTGTTTTCTTAAAGTTGTCTGCTGACCAGTTGGCTTTTATTTTTTAAAATTGATCACAGACTTGGGTCCATGATAAAAAGGCCATATAATAAATAACTTATTAACCTTGTCTGTCGGTCATAATGGGAAATCTCAGACCTCGACCTTGATGTATTGACCTTGCTATTGCTCGGTCAATACATCAAGGCCTCAGTCTGAGATTTCTCTGTAATGACCTCGCTCTTGGGTAATAAGCAGTATGTATTAATTAACTCACATCAAGTGTTATATGTCTCTGTGAATTTGCATTTCATTGACAAGTGGGATGAGCCCCAAAACCTACATGTATTGTTATCCAGAATATTTTCTTCAATTCACCAGGGCACAAAATTGTGTCGCATAAACTGAAGATTTGACTATAACTGCTGTATTGCTGGTTTCTTATACATGCATTTGTTTGTTCCTTAAGAAATGATGGAAAGAAAAAAGAAGAATTCCTCAGAAGATGGGAAAGACAACTTACTGAGAAACAGAAAGAATTGGACAGTATGTATACTTTAATAGTACCAAATGAAATTATTTCAAATCAATGTCATTTAAGTGTTGTTTCTATTGCATCTACACAGTTGTAACTTCAGTTTCACAGCAGCTAGGTATGCTGTACATTTTAAAAAATTATTAATTAGCACTATTCATGGAATTCTTTACCCACAGGAAGAGAGAAAATGCTTTTAGAGAAAGAGAGAGCTGTAAGTGAAAGAGAAGATAAAGTTACAAGGTACTTTCTGCTAAATTATTTTTTTTTTTGAACCAATGGCACAGTAAGCTCACAACAATTAGCAAATAAAAGATCATTGTGGGGTTTCAGGTGCCTCTACTGTGACCGGACCCCCTGACAGTAAACTCCTTCCATATTCCAGAGGAAATATCTTCATCACGAACAATTTCTTGAAAGTTAGACAGATCTTTACCAGATCCGTTCAGCTGTAACAGTTGCTGTTATTTGCAGCCTCATTTTGTTGAGGATGAAAAAATTGTTCCTTTAGTTGGAGGGACGTGTTAGGCTGATCATGGTTTCTGAATTCATTCATGTTCGTCAGCCTGCAATGAACCATGATCAGATGATCAGGGCTACATGTACCACCTTACCCAATTTATGGAACAATTTTGCATCCCCATAAAAATGATGCTACAAACAACAGCAAGCATCACTGATGAAGAAATCGCACTATTTGCTTATTAAATCTTTTTTAACGTCCTTGTTGCCATAATTGCTGTCATCAGATCTTAAGGTCCCTATTGACTATGTATCTCATCACTGAGGAATTGTGTAAATTCACCTTAATTTAATCACACTTTTAACTGTTCTTTTTTTTTTCAACCTAACAAAAATAACCTTGGATTTTCATATAAAAATGGGCTGAAACTTGGCTAATGATGTAGTGCTCTGTTTTCAACTTGTAGGGCTGAAACAAACCAACGTCACCTTGGTTTACAGGAGGCTCATCCTTTGCTTCCTAAGCGGCCCTATTTGTATGGGAACCTAGGAATGGACAAAGAAAATGATTTGCTTGTCAAAAGAAAATACGCATTTGAACCTGAAAGTCGAGGAAAACTGTTTGATGGTATGACAAACAATGGTTTTGCAGTTGGTCGACATCTACCTGAACTAGGATTTGGACAACAGAATCTTCCTCATGGATATATTCGGCCAAGAATATTATCTGACTTCCGATAAAACCTTCTACACTGTAAAGGCAGTTTCTAAAAAGCATTGCCAGAAAAAACCTTATCCAGGCTAGTCTTTTGCATTACAAAGTGCTTTTTACAACTTAAAAAATAATGTAGAATACATACAGTGTATGTCTATTCACTCACTAAATCATATGACGATGTATTTAGTATACATGACAGCTTTCCTCCCTGTTAGATCAGACTTGTAAAAGAGTCTCTGTCATTCTCTTGGCTTACTGTTAATTGTCACTCTTATGAATTAATGCATGTATTAAGTCTAAAATTAAATTTTGATTTTGTTATACTAATTTTGGCTATAGGATATATTTCTACTCTACTGTAAGTTGTAATATACTGTAAATAGATTGTATTTATTTAGAAATAAAGTGACTTTTATTCTCATTTTATTTATCATCATTTATTTTTCAATGACCTTGCACCTGAACTTCCCACTGTCATTAAGATAAGAAAACATTTGGCCCGTCAGAAAATTTATGGCATTAAAAACTTATGCTTGTGGTTAACACAGTGCAGTTTCCCTTAAGTGAAAGACAAGGTCGAGCCAGTATACTTTCAGTTTCTCGAAATTCAAAAGTTTGTTGATGACCATACTTAATAATCAGAAAATCAACTCATTTTAATAAAATCACTCTGTAAACAAAAGAATTCATTTCTGTTTTATTTAGTAGTGTCAAACCTTACCTCTATGTACATTCTACATTTTGCATGTTAATTACCATCACAGCTCAGTATTATCATACAGCATATATATATCATTGTTTGAAACTGCATTTCAACCTGCACTCTATGTACATCAAACACGTTTGAGCTTTATGAAGAATCATGCGAAATATTCTGTGTACATCGTGTAATAGATTTTATGGTTGTAAGATAAAGATCATAATCACGTTCCTTAAAATATTTTAAAACAATATCATACACTGTACATGTACATGAATAATAAATATTTTAAAAATGCTTGATTTTTTCCTAAAAGGTTTTACCTTCACAAAATAATAATGTTCTTCCCTTATCTTTTTCTTCAACGCTTAAAAACATTTTGTACGGTGTTACACCAAAAGACAGCAACCGAAAATTACAAGCTTGATTATAAACAAAATCAAGCCAAACAAAATTATATTTTAAAACCATGCTACCAAAAAGGTGACAATACATGCTCTTTCCTTTTGTGATAATGATTATGTGATAAATGAACTCCCAATGTACAAACAGTTCCAAATGTGGGAAATTCACAATGAGATTTAAACTTATAAGAATGTCTTGCAATTTTGATTTACACTGTATACCACCCCTAAAGGGTGTTTTGGTTCCACCACCTTGGAAGTTTCTTTCTCAAACTGAACAAGTATCTGACTGTATAGATTACACTACCAGTGTGCAACACTTCTCAGAAGACCACCTGGAGGCTGATTTCTGGCCCCAGTTTCTCAAAAATTAATAGGAAAAAACTATCCACTGAACAGCGCCATTAGTTTCGCTAATATTTATCCACTGGATGGTGATTTATCCAGCTGGGGCCAGGGGCCTGTTTCTCGAAAGTCCCAATAACTTTTTGGGCATGGAAAGCTGTTTTATGTTTGCTATGTTTGCATTCAAGATCAAAGTTTTAATAATAAAATATTTTGAAAATGATGCAATGAAACTATCAGTTAAACAAAGCAAAACTGACCGATTTGTGAGTTAGGAACTATGATACCATTACACAGGTTTTGATTTTAAAATTTGAGTTCAGGCTGTACAGGACTTTTGAAAAACGGGCCCCTGAACTCAAATGTATTTCCAGTTGTCACTTCTGGCAGAGAGAAGCGACAATAAGTAATTATACATGTCTGCGTCTGCAGGCTATTTTCCTAGGGACTTTTTACAACATGAAGTTGTTTATAAATCTGCAGCCAGAAAATCAGGAACACTGCTCTTTATAACAGGCATTATAATGAACCAACAGGGATCTTGCTTATGTTCGGAATGTCTCCACTCTGGGTTGCATACTTTCAAACCTACCGAAAGAAAAAACCACATAATTTAAGCATAATTCAGATCAGATACATTGTATGACCCAGTTCTTTTTAAATGTTTCAAAATGTGGATGACCACTTTTGATCTAGAAGCATGTAGAGTGACAAAGCATGGCCTTTCATTATCTGTTTTAGAGACTAAAAATTGGATGAGGAAGGTCAAGTTGTCCAAGTCCGCTAAATGTTATAAGAGACTAAGATTAGGGTATTTTGGCATTTCCCACGAACTGCAAACATCAACAAGTCATGTGAATAGTGCCTTGCTGTCAGGTTTGCGGCTTGAGGTTTGCATTTGTACAGCTACACCATGCTCCAGAAGTAAGTGATTTACCGCAAGGTTTTTTGCACTCTAAAACATCACAGTCCCACATTTGAGAGAAAATACTCCTGTTTAGAACTCTTTCACTAATTATTTTACATAAAAACGTAACTTTGAACACGATTTCTCAGCTAAAATAGAAGTGAACAACTGAATAAAAACAAACATGGCAGTTGTGAGCTACCACCCATGAATCTTATACTGATAACTTGAAACCGCTAACTGCTGCCGTTTGCGGTAAGATGGCCAAACCTCGATCTTGAGGTCTCTATTGAGAACACTATTGGCCCCTTACCTGCTGAGTTTAAAAAGTGGTTTATCACTCTTTGAGGCATCTTTCGGTTTCCTGAAGAAAATGTTACAAACATAAGATGAAGTTTTCTCACAGAAGAAATACATCTAGAGTTCAAACTTGTTTCTAGTGTGTCAAACGTGTTTTTAGAGCATTTGAAAATTTGAAAGGGGTTTCAAGACTCTATGAGAAAGCTTACCTCATAGAAACTGCATTTCTGTTTTGTTCCTCCCTCTTCTCCTCATGTTCTTTTTGTTGTTGCTGAAAATTAAAATAAGACACAAACAGAACATTAGCAATATTATTTTGCATTGAAGGCAGAAAGTTTATTTTTTATAATATTTATTTTCAAAACATGGGTTTGTATACCTGTTTTATCACATTATTGGCATACAATGAAGGTTCAAAATATTATGATAGCATTCAATTTTACAATGGGTACAATTTCTAAACCACAAATAGACCACACCTTTCTTTCAGCTCTTTTCTCCTTGGATTTTTGATCTTGCTCATTTAACCAGTCTCGTTGATATCCCATCGACAACAAATGCTTGAAATTCACCGGCTCCGGATCACTTTTAAAAAGAAAATCATGAATAAATTCAGTATAATATTAAATTTACATGAGGACTCTGCACTTAAAAGTAATGAGGCTTGTTAAGTCACGGGCTCTTATAAAAGTTTCCAGAACAAGAGGGTGATGGGTTTTTTTCTTTTGCGCAGTAAACAAGATACACGCATAATGGCCTCATTAAGACCGATTCAATTCCAGTCAGGAAGATACAGTGCTGGCAAACAGTCGTATANAGAGCATTTGAAAATTTGAAAGGGGTTTCAAGACTCTATGAGAAAGCTTACCTCATAGAAACTGCATTTCTGTTTTGTTCCTCCCTCTTCTCCTCATGTTCTTTTTGTTGTTGCTGAAAATTAAAATAAGACACAAACAGAACATTAGCAATATTATTTTGCATTGAAGGCAGAAAGTTTATTTTTTATAATATTTATTTTCAAAACATGGGTTTGTATACCTGTTTTATCACATTATTGGCATACAATGAAGGTTCAAAATATTATGATAGCATTCAATTTTACAATGGGTACAATTTCTAAACCACAAATAGACCACACCTTTCTTTCAGCTCTTTTCTCCTTGGATTTTTGATCTTGCTCATTTAACCAGTCTCGTTGATATCCCATCGACAACAAATGCTTGAAATTCACCGGCTCCGGATCACTTTTAAAAAGAAAATCATGAATAAATTCAGTATAATATTAAATTTACATGAGGACTCTGCACTTAAAAGTAATGAGGCTTGTTAAGTCACGGGCTCTTATAAAAGTTTCCAGAACAAGAGGGTGATGGGTTTTTTTCTTTTGCGCAGTAAACAAGATACACGCATAATGGCCTCATTAAGACCGATTCAATTCCAGTCAGGAAGATACAGTGCTGGCAAACAGTCGTATAATTTCTCGTCACAAGACCACTCTACAGTCATGATTTCACCTTATAACCACATATAACCAGACCATACAGACTTATGAAGTGTTAAAGTGAAAATTTTCTCATTAAGTCCTTTTGAGTTCCCCTGCTACACAAGTACTATGTATGAAAATGGTTTATTATAATACCGTAAAATATTTCTGAAAATAAGCCCCGGGGCTTATATTTTTCGAAGACCCTTTTTGAGGGGCTTATTTTTGGAGGGGCTTATCTACGAAGGGAAATTTGCGTTTCAAAATTGATTGGGCTAGCCTTATAGTTTGAAGTAAATTTACCGTTTTTGCTTTGTCTTACTTTGTATTTGAGGGCAATTTTCCAAGTACAAGCCCCCGGGGGCTTATATTTGGAGGGGCGATTTAGCAGAGGATTTTTCGCGTTACCGGTTCGGGGGGCTTATATTTGGAGGGGCTCATACATGGAGGGGCTTATTTTCGGAAGTTTACGGTATATGACCTGGAAAGACAACAGACACTTAACAGTTTTCCTTTTTTTTACAAGGAAAGCTATACTAAAAAACACAAAAACTAGAGAAAAATGTTAAGAATAGAAAACAAAAGAGAGGCCGTTTACATTTTTGGCAGTCTGACTTGTCTTTGCTGAGGTGCACATTTCTGTGCTTGCTTTAGTTCTTCATATCTCTTATCGCGCTTGTGAATTCTCTTTAGAGGAGGAAGTCGAACATTGCTGGTATTTCCCTTGGAATCTTTTTCTTCCCTGCAAAGTAAAAACACCATGGTAACACATTCTAATGAGTCTTAATGAGTCTTTATTTCACCAAAAGATAAAACTACATATCTTATCTTACCATAAGAGAAGATAAAAACTATGATAAAAATATCTACGTTATATGTATATATTAAAAAAAGTGTATCATAACAATAAATGGAGCTTAAAAATCAACCTATTTACAAAGGTGTTCATAAAACGCTCTGTATTAATTTTCAGGCGTACGCAGCCTTTTTTCCTAAGATTATGTACATAAGTCTTCTGGACAGGAATGATATCTTTTAGTGGGTGGCAATCCGTTGATATTAATTTCTTTAAAATGTTTGGGTCTTGTTTATTTAAAAGATTCTTGATAAAAACTGGAAATGAAATAAAACGGCGTTTATGGCATCGGTCTAAAAAATTTTGTATAACCGTAAGATCGGATTTCGATGCCCCATAGACTGAAAGCGCATAGCTAAAATTAGGTAAAACAATAGATATAAAAAGGTTATCTATCTCTGCCTGAGAGTAGTGTTCCTTTCTTGGTGTCCGTAGGACGTGTAAACACTTGTTTGCTTTGACAAGCTCTTTATTACACTTCAGTATGGTGAAAACTGGACGTCAAGCATGTAACTGAAAAGCCTCGTTTCTGTACAATGACAGGAGCCTGTGACTTGTGAGCCCGTAGCAATGGTTGCAATCAAAGTAAAAGGTGTGCGTAATGATTTGAACCAAAACATTGAAGTGCTCTTGTGGAAAGAAGCCTTGAAAAATAGCTGCAGTTATAAATAACTCAGTGTACTGCAAATGATTGCTATGGCTTTTAGTTTCCATATTATGCAGCACTGGTAACCACTGATTATTTTTAGTGATCAAGGGTGGATTTAGGGGTGGGCCGAAGGGGCCGCGGCCACCCCTTTTTTTTTTGAAATTCTGTGTTATTTTTATAGACTTCTCACAAAAATAAAAAAGTATCCATATAGCTGGCATGTGGGCAAGTGTCCCAACCAACCCTTTCTGAATTTTCTGGATCTGCCTCTAAGTGATAACATTTTTTGAAGCTTTCTCATGGAAACCAGCCTCGTGAATAAACAGCTCATGTGATTTCTTATTTCAACCAACAGTGATCATACCTTTGCCAGTTTGAGAGGTTATCAAACCCTATGATTGGCCGCTTTCTTATATAGGCACCTGTCACAACCTCGTCATCTGAGGGCAAATCGTGTACATGAACATACCAATCAGGAAGGACTCTATATCTGAAAATAAAAATAATTTCATAATGAAAAATCGTTCTTCACATAGAATGTGGTAGACTAAATGTGTCCAGTAGAAACTACAGATGAATCACCATTAAGCCCCTAGAGTGATCAGCATCAAATTTCTCCTTGTAACATCAATGCATTGTAAAACAGAGTGGTCATGAGAATTACGGACATGATCATACAAGATGAATTTGCTTAATATTTTTAATTATCAACTTCTCCCGGCATTACTTCTGTAGGAAATTGAATAGGGGCAACAAATGAGAATTCAAATTTTGATCTTAGGGTTTAAAGGGTTAAGGGAGGTTAGCTGCTTTATAGAGGTCATCACTTTATTGTGAAACAAGCGACAAGAGTGGCATTACTGGTCCACAATCAGTCTTCGCCTATCTTGACTGCATTTTCCTTCATGATGTTTTTTACTACCATAAATGATCGATTAAGTGCCATGATGCTTACTTCATTTTCTCTGTTATAGATGCAGCGCTTATACAAGAGCGGTGCTTATTTGAAAGTGGCACTTATACGTGAGGGGCGCTTATTTCAACTACGGGTAAAAAGTGAGGTACGTACTAGGTAGCACAATTTATAATAAAATATGTCAATACGTACCTCAAACTGTTACAATGAACCTGGTTTCAAGAGTTTCCCTACATTAAAACTTTAGTTCTCACAAGTTGGTCGAGGTCTTATTTCTCAAGCGATATGGTTTTGACATCTCTATATATATCAAGCACGGTAACAAAGGTGGGGTGTAAATTTGTAAATACTCAACACCACGGCACTTATTTATGAAGGGCGCTTATTAAATTATTTTTCGGTAAAGGGGCGGTGCTTATTTGAGAGCGGTGTTTATTCGAGTGGTGGCGCTTAATCGATCATATTTTATGCGATACACATTGCCCATAGCTGTAAAACTCTTGTAGTTTGTGAAAAACATACCCTTCTTTTGCTGGTTCCTTGTGTTGCTCTTCAAGCTGAGCAGGTTGACCAGCTTCGTCATCCTCTTCTGGATGGTCGTGATCAAACCAATCAACTCTTGGATAGGGAACAGGTTCATCCGGTTTTACAGGTGGACTGTGATATGCCAGAAGATTTTTTCGTCCACCTTGCTTGGCCATTTTAATGTACTTGGAGTCTGTGTCCCTGATCCATTTTCTTCTAAAGTGTCTTTCATCACTTTCGGGATTAGCGAACTCGTCTTTGAGTCCTCCAATACCTGGTATCTGTGATGCTGGTGGGGCTGCTTTGGGTGATTTGGTTGTTCTCTTGATAGGAGCATGGTAGTACCAGTCTGGAAGGCAAGAGAATCACATGCACATTCAGATGGCATGGAAAGTAGACTGCAGATCAGTCTTGCATGCAGATTTCAAACACAGCAAGAAAAGGAAAGAATATCTAAAGCTACAGGGATGCAACAACTGCCAACATTGTTGGCATGTTAGGAGTTGCTGCAGCTGTTTGCAAAGCTAAAAAAACTTTGCGCAACAACTCCCAACAACATGCAACAGGCTATGCAAATGAAGGCAACAGTTTATTGGACATCCAACAATTTTGGGAGTTGTTGGTCAACGATGTTGCATCCGTTTGCACAGAGCTTAAGCAAACAAGGATGTCAAATTTTCAACAACGCAACCCAGCGCGATACGCAGTCGACGGTAAGGTAATTATTTTGTTGGTCAGGAGTGTTTCACTTCAAATCACGCGACAGGTTTGTTGGGAACGGATAACCCAGAGTACTACGAGAAAGTGACCGCATTTTACTGCTGGCCTGCAGTACTTTAATGTACTTAGTATTAAGTTTGAGAGCTGAGAAGTGCAATTTAATTGATGAAAGGCAATGGAGGCAGAGAGTAAAATACACAAACCATGGTCTCCTCTACCAACTAAACTCACTGCAGGTAGTGTACAGCACAAACCCTCCATAAGCTTATGACCATGGCATCAGGATACAACAACGTGCATTTTAAACCAAGTGTAAATGTATACACTTTAGACAATAAAGGATCATTCTCTTCTGATCGAACCGTCTAAAGAAGTTTCTCGTGGATATCTTTCTTGCAAACAGCTCGCAAGGACCAAAGATCAGCTCGGAGCCATTTGTGAAAGTAAAGACAGAGAAATCGCCATACAGAAATAAAGCGGTCAAGGCTGACAGCGTTCATAACCGAACACAAGATCGCAACTGGAAAACCTTGAAGGATATTGTTATTAAGGAGTTTGTTAGCAAGAAAGTAAAGAATACACAGAGAGGATTGAGAGGATTTATCAACCGCAAAAGATTCTAACTTCAATCTGTTCGGTCGATTGTCACCATGGCTGAAAGATACAAAAACTTACACGATTCTCAGCGAAAAGAAAGGCAACCTACCCTGTGTCGAGATATGTGGATTAGGCATTTATATCGTCAAAGTTTCCCTTACGAGTCTCTGTATAATGGTCTGTCTCCAAATTCGTCACAATTTGCTGTCTTGATTGTTCAAGGAAAGCAACTGAAATATGGCGACGGACGATTGTAATGGCCGTTTCCATAGCAACATGTTTTCTCGTAATCATTGCGTGACAAAAAGTGTCACATATTTGCATACCGCCTCTCCCAGCATGCAGCTCGCAAAGAAATGCAGAGACTCGCAAACTTTTGAACTCGGTGCATAATGTATCGGTCAAATCGAAGCTTCAACATGCCCCCCCACCGGGCATACCCCGGGCATTTGACACCTTTGCCGTCCCGGGGAGGAGGGAATTTGATTATCAGAGTCTTCCAGGGGGTGGGGAATTTGAACTGCACCCTCGATTTCATGTAAAATCTTTGGCGTGGTGAGCTATCATGGGGGACGCGGTGTTAGAGGATTTTCGTGGAAAAGATTGTGCCTTTGTGGCCAATTGGTTACGAGGAGAGGGCTTAAACAAGCTTTGTGCCGTATTTGAAGTATTTAATTTTTAAAATTTTTAATTGGATGCAGGCTTTGAATGTATGAATGTATTTTATTGTTGTGTTTACAATGAAATACAATACCTATACCGGCGATAAAATAAAATAAAAAGCTCAGGTCAACTACTTTGACCTATTGCAAGTATGTTAATTAATAAGGTGAGCAATGATGCATGTCAGTGAAATGGTCATGATGTAGTAATCTCAATAGGTGGGATCTTTTTTTATAGAACGCTTTGTATGTTGCATAATGAAGAAAAGCTGAGCATTCAGTGACCTTGTAGCAGCGATTTCCGCCGCTTTGCACGAGACGTTTGTTCGTAGTAAATACGCTAACAGTGTTTCTCAGTTTTTGTTATATTTATAAAAATTTTGTTCGACAACTGAAGGCGTTTCCACCATCCTTCTGTCATTTTTGTGCCTGTGAAATGTCCCCGGGGTGGGGGCATTTGATCACCTGAATGGACCCTAGTGTGGGGCATTTGAACGGCATTTTGGCCCGGGTAGGGGGGAATTTGAACAATAATTTTCAAAAAAGTCAAATGCCCGGAGGGTTGCCCGGGGGGGGGGCATGTTGAAGCTTCGATTTGACCGATACATAAAGGTGAAACGCAAAACGTTTGTGTTCAAGGTGGAGACTTGAAATATTTCTTGTCTTTTTCATTAGCCCGCAAGGTGCATCTGGCCACTCGGTTATTTCTGATCTAGAGGAAAAGTTTTGAAAAGTTTTTGTTTGAATTTAAACCAAAAATTACGTTCATAAGCGGACGTATTTACGGGATAAATAACTGCAAAATCCGGCAAAACAGACATGGCACGCGTGGTACTTGAGAAACTTGCGCTTAATTTTACTTCCTTCCGATGAAGTCCTGCGCTCTCTTTTTTCGCGCCACGGTAGCCTGGGATGTGGTACGTGACAAACTTTCGCCTCCAGGCTCGCCTCATCATTCTTTCATCATTTGTCGAAGACGTTCAGTTTTAATCCGATTAGGAAATTCTCTTTTTATACTGATAAGCTGTTTTCAAACCACTTATACGCATCTCCTCACTTTCATTCTAGATCTAGATCTGGAACAGACTCGACACGCGAGCCAAAAAGCCGGGTTTCCAGTGACCACGACGGGCTGTATTCTACTTGTTTACGTTAATCATTTCCCTTTTTACCTTTTTGCCGATATTTATAGGTGCAATTAATGACCACTCCCCTGTCACCAACGTCGCCCGGGTTCGAATCCCCACCTCGACGTGGGTTGGATTTGTATTAGGTTCTCTTCAGCTGCTTCGACGGGTTTTTCTCCTCAAAAAAAAAAAAACAACATGCCCAAATTCCAGTTGCGTCTGAAAAGAGTCTCCAATTTTAGTTAACCCTTTCATTGCCAGAGTGAATGTTGGAGTCCCTTAAGGTAGTCTTAACTTTTGAGTCTGTGGACAAAATCCTATGATGTGACCACTCAAATGAAACCTCTCTGCCTGTTCTTTCAAATGGCGCTATTTGTTTTCAAAATTTTACAAAACGAAATTTTGGAATTTTTGTTGAATTTTGCCCTTGAGCACACTTGGCACTGAAAGGGTCAAGGATCATCTTTCCTTTGGTTTTTCCGGACTTATGCTCTCGTAGCTCAACCTTAACTTCTTGATGTATTTTTTGTCATGTCTCTTTGTATTTTTGATGGCTTATTGACATGAGTTTTGCGTATTCACCCCCTTGCCCGTCGTGTGATATCTTTCATGTTAGCCGTAATGCATGGCCCAAACATTTAAACCGTCCCTTATCATGAAATTTGAAAATCGATAAGATCTATCTCATTTCGGTTTGTGTTCTATTTCATCAGCGGAAGTCGATGCCAAGCACGCGATCTGAAAGACCTCGACAGGACAGAAAGTGAAATCCAGTTCCTAAAAAAACAGTGTCAAGCCGTAAAAATAACTATTTTAGCAGTTCGTAAATCGGCTCTCTTATCTTGACTTTTCTTCTGACGTTTCGTGGGCTTGTGTGTTTCTTTGTGGTTATTACGTGGATAATGTCCATTTCTCTGCCCAGCCAGGTCAAACACATTCTAAATATTTAATTAGCTCTCTATATATAAACCGCTTAATGCGAGTATAAATTATGACTTTGTTTGACGCCTGGGTTTGACGTCAGTAAAAAGCACTCGAAGCAGTGCGTAGGTCGCAAGCTGGTCACTTTGGGGCAGTTCAGGGTAGTGTTCAATCGATGAATTGATATTTACGATGGGACGACACAACTTTTCAACCTCCACTTTATTCTTCGTTGTATTTGTCTTAAGAACCGTCATCTTTCTCCAAGCTGCTATTTCCTACATCGAAGGTAAGCGGAAAACGTCATTACATCACATTCTAAAACTTCAGACGGCTCTTTCCGTTTCGCAGTTTCTGCAACTTTATGCCTGTATTTGCCTGCATATTTTGTCGCCTGTTGTTAAACTAACACTAATAATATTGTGGTGAATTGCTCTCTTCAGGGGCTGCATTAAACGAGAAATTGTTGGTCAAACGCTTAGAGGAGATCAACTCAAACGTGCGACCTGTGAACAACTCCTTGTCCGCAGTGAATGTGACTCTCGACATTACATTCTATGGCGTTATAGAAATGGTAGGCAACCTTATATATTGTCTTTATATAGGTTACTATTTGTAATTGCTTGCATGTAGACGTATACAACAGTTCTATTTCATTGATTATTCCAAAAAGCAACAGCCGCTCAACTTCACCTAGCAAGAATTCCACAACTAAGTTCCTGATACGTGAATAGAAGAACGCAGTAAATGGTCTCTCATTTCCTATCAAGCATTTATTTATTAGTATATTCGATTACAACTACACAACTTCAAAAATATCTTGTTGAGTCATTCCAACGTTGCGTTCTGAGAGTCTGCGTTATCTATATCTTCTCCTCTTTGGAAATAACATTTAAATGGATTCCAAGCGTTTGCTTAAAATATTTCTGCACTTAATCAGTGAGTTTTGCAAACGGTACCATCAGATAACAAAATATTAGTGTCTTTAGCGACTACACGGAATGTCTGCTTTAGGATCGTGTCTGACAGCAAAGTGAAATCACCCGAAATACAATGGATCAATGCCCGGCACTTAAGCCACTAGAAGAAAATTCTGTTAGCATGCCGATCGGCTTTAATACTTTAGGAAGCTTCGCAACACAAATAACATCCTTCCTTATTGTAAAATAAACGGATTCTTTATTTTCAATGTTTATGATAAGCACGTGAGCTATCTGCCTCTATATCTTTTCGTTCTCGTTCCGTTGTCTTAGTTTCGAGAAAATTTAACTGAAGGCTTGCTTATTTTTCACTCCTTTCAATGAACCATAAGTCTTTGCATATTAACTCAGCAATTAAGATAATACTGAAAGAAGCGCAAGTTACTTTTAATCTGCGGAGGACAAAGTGGTAAACATTTTGATAAACTCGTCACTATTCATCCTTGAAAATTTAATCAACATGGCAATAGTTGTTTATATTTTTAAAACAATAAGCTCATCCAGCGAGTTTGAAATACATTTCATTCGCCACCCGCGTCTTACGGCTCCTGGTATATTGTGTTCGCCCACAGTTCTTTGCCTTAATCTTTTCGCTTGCGGCTAGTTGAATAAACAA